TACTGAGAACAATAGTTTTTTGTATCATTTGCATCTTGAGTTTCAGGTTCCAATGGAAATATTTTGATAAATTGGCCATTGCTTTAGGGTAGAATTCTCCAACTAGTACAATGTTAGTGGTCATGTAAAATCAGTGGTAAATCCTAATATTTTAAGGATGATAATTACGGTGAAACACATTCATTTCTCTTTCTTCTTCTAAGCCTTGGATGCTTCCATTTAGGACAAACAACATAAACTGAACTGAAAAGTTTTTTCAGCTTCTAACATACCCTCCCTTCCATTGTATATTTTGGGCACAGATTCCGGAAGATGATGCAAATACCTATAACAGTTGTATTGATTTTCCAGTGGCTGTTTGCATTCATATTATGCAGTGAGAAATTCACCCAATCTATTCTAAGGCAGCAACAGTTAATAGCAGCTGACAGACAGGATGTCTCATGTCCTGCTCTGCATTTAGTTATCTACAAAATAAAGAACATTTATTTTTCTTTCTTTTGCACTGAATTTGTCTGGACAATGTTTCAAGAGCTTTTTTTGGTCGTTGATTTTCAGTGCATGTTTATTCTTCCTCAGAAATTTCACATTTCTGTTGAAAGGAAAACATAAATAACTAGACTTGTTTTTGTTTTCAGAATATACTCCAAAGAAAGCTGAGGCCATTGAAAAATTGTTGAAGTTCTTAGGTTGTATTGGTAAAAGGCAGAGACATGAAACAAATGTATGCTTACCATATTCACTGCAGGTTGCAGTTATATGGAATGCTGGATGTGTTATAAGGCCCAGTTCAAGATTATGAAGGTCAAAGTGAATCCCAGTAAGCTGGGATAAAAAAATGTTGGAACAAATCATGAAAACATTCAAAAAATTCCTAGCTCCCCATTTTAGTAGAACCAGAACCAGAATGAACTTGTTGTGACCATTGGACATTCCTGTTTTTCATTGTAGGGCATCTTCCTATAATATTAGTAACAGTTGCCTTATCTATATCCCTCTTCCTTGGTCTGCTCTCCTCATCCTCCTCTCCTCTGGCAGAGGGGGGAAAGGTGTAGAATTGCATTCGCAAACTAGCTGCTCGTTTCACAGGCTTGCCTGCAAATGTCTTAGATAAAATGGATGAAATGCACAATATAAAAACTCATAATAGCTGAATTTCATGACATGATCATCATCAAAGTTAAGAGATATGCTGTACGCCACATCTGTGGACAAAAATCTAAGTTTTCAAGGCCTTGCAAAAGGCCAGTAGGGTTGGGAGTGATTTTATCTCAGAGGGAATGAAACTCCAAAGAGTGATGCCACTCTCACAGCTGCATCAGAAAAGCACCTGGGTCCAGCTAGCTAACACTCTTTAGCCTGCAAACAGATCATGACCTTCTTGCCAGAACAATTTGGGAAATAGTTCCATAAAGAAGTACTATCAGCTTCTCTTCCTTGTATGTTGATGATGTTGATTGATGAGGAGGAAGAAGATGATAGATGCACAGTCAGGCAAATATATTATCACGTTTACCTGTGAAAAAGTATCATCACAGGATGATATATTATTAAATAAATTGTTAATGTTAATGATTTTAATTATTTAGTATGTCATATAGTTAGTTTTAATTAAATTTTATTCATAAAATTATTACAATTTTATATGTATATTATAATGTAATTATACTATCATTACAAATATAAAAATAAAACATAAACCAAAACATTTTATCAATAGCATTTTATATCATAATTAAAAAAAATAATTATTATTGACTAAAAGTATTTTTATTGTTATACACAACAGCACGAAAACACAGCTTCCAGTTCTTTACCAGGCATTGACCTTTGTTCACACTGAGTTCTTCCCTAAACACTAGGATGCTGTGATATATCATTCCAGTATGTGTGCAGATCCGAGAAGTGTGGCCTTTGGTCATTGACAGGTGGACATTTTGCCAATGCACATATTTTCTATTATTATGATGATCGGTTGTACTCAGCCAGATGTTTAATCTGGATTTGGCTTTTTTTTTTTTTTAAATCTACCTATCAAGTCCGTCTCAGGACCTGAGATAGGCAGATGCTGTTTCATGGTGTTAAAGGATGTGTGCTGCCCCAAGTAAAGTTGCCTTTGGCAATTGACTGATGATCTTTGTCAATGCTGATGGCCTTCTAGCGAAGCTGCAGATGTTTTAGATTGCACCTAAGGCAGCTATCACTGTTGGTACTATCTTTGCTTTCTTTTGTCACAGTCATTCTATTCTATTTGCAGGTCTTCCTATTTTTCTCTAGTTCTTTCTCTTTTATTCTATTGTCTCCAGGTAGTACCATGCTCATTCTCCAGACTTCTTTTGCTTTTCCTGTTGACAGTTGTTAAGTCTAGCATGTTTTGTGACAGGTGCTTCTCTGTTTAAATTCTGAAATCCCAGAGCATTTTAGCTTCTTTGTTATCTATTACTTTGTCTATTTTTTTGGTCCCACCAGTTCTTGCTTGCAAGCAAACTATATTTCTTGCAGATATTTCAATGCATCATTGTTATTTTTATTATGAGTCACTGCATAGACACCAGATGTTTAGACTGGACTTGCCATTTTTACCCAACTATTATTATTATTATCCTTCAGGTAGTGAACCAGAATATTTGACTAGCACTAAGCAGACATTCTGCATTCCATTGATTCTGTTCCTCCCCAAGCTAAGAGAAACATTTGTGAGTCTTTTCTTGTCTGAAGCTTCAAAATTAGCTTTCTGTGAGGACAATTAATTAGAAAACACGCATGGGGAGTTCATGTTCTGCCTCCTTTCACAAGAAATTGTAGGGGAAAAAAACTAGTGCAGTATGTACAATTGATACATCCCAAGGGAATAACTGTAGGTAGAGATTAATTTCTTCCCAATTCATCTCTGAAAATCATACAATACCATGCCATACATTCTCTATTTGCCTGTTTCATTCATTCATTCATTCATTCATTCATTCATTCATTCATTCATTC